AATCATGAAGTATATTAGAGATAAGTGCACAGGCCCAGGCATCCTACCACTAAATTTCTACTGTTAGCACTGCGGGTCCCTGGTTCAAATCCTAGTTAGGACACTATCTGCAAGTAGTTTGCATGTTTTCCCTGTGCTTAGCCCTGTATGTATGCAGGAAAGATAGGGACCTTGGATTGTAAGCTCCTTGAAGGCAGGGACTGATGTGAATGTGCACTATGTGAAGTGCTGCGCAAATTGATGGTGTTACCTAAATACCTATAATAAATAAATACTGGTCAGGTTGCAAAGAGCAAGGGAAGCTGCAGCTGCCAAAGCAGGCAATTACAGACCTGCCAGTCTTGGGGGGGGTGGGGGGGGGGGAATAGTGTATGTTAAATATAATCCAGGGCAGTAATATCTATTTCACCTCAATATCTGAAATATCTGCTGGAACCCACAAGGCACTCAATATATAGTTGAATTGTATTAGAGGGAACAAAACCAAGTCCTTGATTACTGCTGCAACACAACTTATAATGATCAACCCTTTCAGCTTGTTGACTGGAAAATGAAGAATCAGCAGCACAATGACAAGTTATGACACTGTTCCCAATGGGTTGACAGTCAGCACATGTGCACTGCAGCAGAGTGTGTATTCACTCCTAGTACTGGCTTGTCCTCTTTCTACTCTAGTCTAGCTACTTAAATCACTACAGAAGGCCGATTTCAAGTACTTAGTCTAGCTGCAACACTATTACTATACTATAAGCTGCTTGCTAGCTAGTTAAATGACTTCATATAAGGTGATATTCTGCCGTTGCATGTCATCAAATAATGAAAGCAATAAAAACGTCCTTTGTAAAAAATCTGAGGGAAGAACTCAGATATTTCATCTATAATTACAATTTAGAAGTGACATTTTCAAGCAGCACATTCTCCCCCAAGTTCCACAAACTGTTTAAAAAAAAAAAAAAAAAATTCTCAAAACAGAAACACATGTCCCAATGGATGTTATGGTGTCCTATAAGCCTGATGTTGTGGAACATCCCAGATTTGTAAACTATTGTGGAATGTAAACACAATTAGCTTGCGCCCAGTGTCCGTGCAACCCAAGCAAGGAAAAGATTATGTGTTTGCTTCTTGCCCAAGAACCGTAGATTAAATGAACACAGAACAGACACCAGAATAACAAGATTCTAAATCAAACATGCAACCCACATGACAGCAATCAGAACAGCCATATGTGTGCAGGGGACAGAGGGTACCTTGGCATCAGCTAGCGCATTAATGACGTTTATGAGAGCAAGAAGTGAGCGATTGATGTTGGCACCTTCCCTGAGGCGCTCTCCTTTAGCATTTGTGGAAGAAGCTCTTTCAGACCCAGCCAGGTCAATAAGACACATCTTAGCTACGCGCATGTCCTGACTGATGCTTGCTGTGCGGTCTTGCTGTTTTACATAGATCTGAAAGAGATAATGACAAAAGCACTGTGGTTGGTGGTCATAGAATTTCTGGTACTCCATAAATAAGTGATTTTTGTACCATAACCCTAAAGTATCGCTAAAGCTCCTGGAAAAGTGTGTGATATGATGATTTTTTCTACATATGCATAAAAAGGTTAGTAACCACAGCAGTTCTATTTTAGTTATAAGTGGAGCTTGGTGGGTTGTGCAAGAAGTATTGGGAAAGTAAAATATACTCTGCAGCTATCACACCTCAGCTCTATATATCGAGAGCTGAGCAATTGTATGACAGCTGATTGCCTTCTCCCTGTAGAGAGCGGCTACTGTCAATCACCACTCCCCAGAAGGATTTCCCTCTCTCCTCTCCATTCCTCTAGCGCTCATTGGAGGAACAGGCAGGGGAGGGGGCAGGCACAGCTGGCTCCAGCTCTAGAGATACAGAACCAGCTGTATTGTTGGGATCCTTCCCGACTGCAGCACGGCTCTGCACCCTCAGCATATAGGAGGCCTGCTACACGCCGATTTTGGGTAACAAGAGTACAAGAAAGAACATCCGTTTTACCTGACTGGAAGTGAAGGAAAATTTGAAATAGAGACACAGACAGAAATAAAAAGCTGGACAGGTATTCTAGTCCTTCCCTTACTTGACCAAAATAGACTATGTATTTCTGTCTGTGTCGCTATTAGAGATTTTTTTCCTTGCTTCCCATCTAGTGAAACAGGAAGCAAGGGGAAATATCTTTAACAGAACCATTCTATCACCCCCAGAAAAGTTTTCCCTGAACATACACTTTAAAATAGTGAGGACACTTTAAACCTCCCTACAGAGGTAGTCCCTGCAAATTAAAGGGGAAATACTTACCCCTCCAGCTTGGGAATGTAAACAAATAACTAATTCATTTTAAATACCAGTTTCAGTTGGACTGACCCTCTCTGACTAATCTAGTAAGTATTCAGGTAATGAGTGAATGGGAGTGTTATGAATAAATGACATTCATCCTGATGTCTGGGATCAGCTGCACTACAGTCCTGTTTTAACCACCTCCTGTCCATTGGCCGTACCTAAACAGCCGGATCGGAGACTTGTAGATGTGGATGGCCATTTTAGAGCGTCCCTCTCCGCCCCTACTCGTGAGCGCCGCCTATTAAATGTAAACAGCCAGCGATGGCTGTTTTAAACACAAGCGTTCTGGTGTCTGTAGAGACGCCCGATCGTTTGTATTTTGTGTGGGTGTGCAGCCCCCCCGCCGGTCCAGAGATCTGCTGTGCCCGGTGCGGGCCAGGATAGGCACGGCGGCTCTGTCACCGAAGATCAGTACATGAAAGAGGACCTGTCACGTAAATTGGCCATCACATAGGGGGATTCTTAGCCCCCCTATGTGAAAGAAATAAAGTTAAGTGTAAGTGTATGAAAAGCATAGAATGTTTTTTTTTTTTTAAAGTCCCCCGCCCCCACATACACACGCAAACATGCGTCGGGTGCACCTACATGCAAAAATGACAATCACGCCCATTTTGCCACATGTTACATATCACCGCTAATCTCGGAGTGAGAGCAATAATTGTAGGGCCATCAATCACTGATAACACTAATCTGATGAGCTTTTAAAGAGTCACCTACGGCCAATTTTGGGTGTGGTAGTTTGTGATTTTACGGGCGTGCGCAATTTTAAGACTTGACATGTTTTGTGTCCATTTACCCGACGTGACCCTGTCTTTTAGATTTTACCAAAAAATGGGGGTGATAATAAAGGTTTCATAGCATAGGGAAACAGGTTTTTTTTTCAAAATTTTCGTTTTTTGTTATATAGTAAAAAATAAAACCCACAGTGGTGATTAAATACCACCAAAAGAAAGCTACAAATTATATAAAAAGTAATTTCAGTACAGCGTTGCATGACTGAATGAATGTCAAAGTATTGCAGTGCTGAATACTGAAAAATGGCCTGGACAGGAAGGGGGTGTAAAACCCTAGTCTTCAAGTGGTTAATGTATTCCTTTCCCCACACATTAAAAAGCAAAAAACACATCAAACATGACCCCAAAAAAAAATTTAAGAGAAAGAAAAGGTGAGAAGTTAATTAGGTCTAAATGTGCCTTTCAACTCTTCCCCACAATGAAGGGAAAGCAGAGTAGAAGTTAAACAGGGCCTCTAAGTTGGTTAAAATACACAGAAAAGAAAATCAATATCGGAAGACAACAATCACTAAAGGAATCCACCAAAAAACATCTATTTTAAGGGCACACAAACAAGTTGACTTGAAAGCTTGTCCCCTCAGTTGTTAATATAGGCATGCCCCACACTCATCCAGTTATCCACTTTAGCTGTGAGAAAAAAGGTTTACATTCTTGGTATGGAGCTTCTCTTATATTGGAAAGCCTCTGGGCTTTCAAATATATATATATATATATTTTTTTTTTTTTAACTTTTCAAAATAGATCATCATCATCCAGACAGCTACACAAGCATATTACCTGAAAAACAGCATGAGATCGAGATGAAGAAGCATTGGCGTCTGTTGGATGCTGAGTGCGGTTAAGGTTCCCATTTGCTAACAATTGGAGTAGCTGTTCTGCAGATTTAGGCTTTACATTAATTAAGGGGGGAAAAAAATAAGTTGTACGTAAATCTGTGATTTGACAACAATAGCAAATTTTAAGTCTGCTCTAACCCATTTCATTTTCCTATAAATGTATTTTCATAACATCTGTTCAGATCATAGGTAACTACTACAAAATCAGACATTGCGCCAAGTTATGTACCATTTTGCAATTTGAGATACAGTTATAGGCTTGTCTACTGCAGACACTTTTGAGTGCAACAGTCAACACAACGGTTTTGATGAAATCCAAAAGATCCCATTTAACAGATCAAAAGAATTACCAAAACATTACAGCTCACCACATGTTACAACCTGATAGTAAATCTAAAGGAGATTGTACAAACAAATAAGTAGTTATTAATAACAGTTAAATTGATTAAGTCGATTAAAATCGACGATTGAAAACGTTTTCGATCGTCGATTCGTCGGCTATCGATTGCTTAGCCTGTTCAGGGATCCGCACGCGGCCTGAGTCGCACGTCACGCGTCACACGCTGCTCCCGACGTGCCCACCGCCGCAGCATAAGCCACGCCCACCGAACAGGCTGAAGCCGCGCACGCCGCTGGTCTCTTCCTAGCCGTGAGCTCTCTCACCCGCCGCGAGCTCCCTCACCCGCCGCATAAGCCACGCCGCCGCTGGTCTCCTCCTCGCCGTGAGCTCCGTCACCCGCCGCTGGCCTGCAGACAATTGAGGGCCCACCTTCTAAAAGTAAGTCAGGAGTGGACTACACTAGAAATGTAACTGTAGTGATCTGGATGTAATGACATCAGCTTATTTTCATAGTGAGCACTTTTCAATTTAGTCAGAATCTCTCAAGGAAACCTCTTATTATTGTTACCATTAAGCCTTCATAGATGTATATCTAAGCAGAACCAATCACAACAGGAAGATAAACACAGTGTGCAAGTGACATGGAGGAACTAAAGCAGATGGTGTATACAGAATTACAGAACTGGACGGGTTTGTGCGAGATTTCTGACTGCGTAAATTATTTCCTTAATAAATGGAGACAAGGACATCTTTAAAAGGGTGTAAATCAGGTTCTTTAGAATAATTGTAGGGTACTATGATAGTGTGTGATCCAGACACCCTTGCCAGACAGCAAAATAAGAACCTCGACCTTCACTGCAGCAAGACAGCTGGGTCACTGATCAAAACACACCCCTAGACCAAACACTGCAGCAGACCTGGACATTCCCCCAGCCTGCTGACAGGACAATAAAACAGGCAAACTGTACTCTGCTCTCTCCTTCAGTCACCAAGCTCCCCATTAAAACTTGAGCATGCAGCAGAGCCTGATATCTACCATATCTGTGTTGCTGTGTAGTTCATTACATGGGGCTGATACAAATTCAGGTACTTCTAATACTGGAATTTAGGACAGTAAAACTGAGCAAGGTGAAAAAATGAACAATGTTCTGACTTACTTGATGAAAAGAGAGACCCTGAACTACAACTCCCTTCTGTGGATCTTCTCTAATTGCAAGAGAACCTTTGGGCTCCAACAAATCCTGGATCTGTTCGTTGTACACCTGATAACAGAGAACCAAACTTATAATATGATGCACTGTATAAACAGACATACATGGTTTAGCATTTATACAAAAGTACTGAAATTCTAAACAGCATAAAACCAAAGTAGTTTTTTTTTTTTACTAAGCGGCCACTACTGGATTGAATCATTTACTGCCTAGTTAAATGTTTCACGGAGTGATGTAAAAACAAATGTAAACTGGAAATTCGTATGAATATCCATGATAGGGGTCACAACAGTTGGGTGAAGCTGATTTTTTTTTTTTTTTATCTCAGAGGGTGATTTAAACCAGTGGATGATTGAAATTAGGAGCAGTCATCAAACATCTGATCGGTTATGGTGGGACTGGCTCTAAAAAAACATCAAAATTGCAATAAAATCAAAAAGGAAAAAAAAATCAAACAAACACGTACACATGAAATGTAGTGCCTTCACAAACCAGCCTGGTCAGCTGCTCCTCCCTGCTTGTTATTGTTTAATTGGCCTTAATATTTGACTGAAGCTGCGCTTTAAAAGTGGATGAGTCGGTGCAATAAAACAGTAATAGCACATTTCTCTCAGTTTATCAACCAGTCCATGTTCCAGAGAGTAGGGAAAACTCATAGCAAGCTTTGATCTTCAGCCAATACAAAAATTGTATTTGGATACAATTCACTTCTACTTGATAACTGGCTGCATCAGCCTAACCGCAAACGGAACTGCAGGGGCCAAATGGCATAGTCACAATTTTAGGACATCAGACTGCCCCTACACCAAATACCATCCTCAAATATATGGTTACCTTAAAATGATCAGACAGTCTACCTCTTATACTTCAGAAAAGGGTTTAGGAATTTTGGGGTTACTGAAAAAAAGAAGCTGTAGGCTTATACCAATAATAAAAGTCCTTGCCATTTTTTCATAATAAGATTTAAGTTTTTTTTTTCTTTCAAATTCTGTATATTGCTCTTAAAACATTTGTACAGAGTTCACAACAAATGTATCCATATCCAGAGAGAAAAACGCCAGAAAAAGGTTTGGCCATAGTTCTTTTAAAAATTGAGCTTTAAGGGTTGTTGTTGCTTAGCAATAAAGACTAGAAATCTCCTAGAATGGTTACCATATTCAAATTATTTTTACCATAAAACAATTTCCATTTGGCATTTTCATAAAGCCTGGTGTTATAAAGCCGGTGGAGTCCGCATGATCACATGCTTTAGCAAGTCCCTGTTATAGCAGACCTTAACTTGAAATGTAGGTCCACTTGGATCAAACAGGGAGGGTGTGAATAAAATGAGCATAAACTTAGCAGTCAGCTGCGCCATGGGAAATCTCATGGTTCTCTGGTTCTACTGTAGGTTAAGTGACCTAAAGCCACAGTAGCGGTCAAGCTGACAACCATAGCTTGAAGTGTAGTTAAGGATTAGGTAAAATGACCCAGATCCAAAACACCATGGGATCTGCTCATTATAGCTGCTAGAAAAATAAATGGTGATTTTGATACCGCCACCCACAATTTTGAATACCACACTACTAAATCTAGTGTTTAAATGTACTTCAAGGACAGGGAGGAAAAAAAAAAAAAAACACCACAGCTTATCTACCAGCCTAATAGATCATAATATTCTGTTAAAAAATATGTAAACATGAAATCAATATCTGCTAGGACAGTGGTTCTCAACCTGTGGGTCGGGACCCCCTCGGGGGTCGAATGACGATTTGCCAGGGGTCGCCTAGTGGCTCTCGGCCGCCAGGAGAGAAACACTTTCTCCCGGAAAAATCGGGGGCTACCGTAAGTCAGAAAAAAAAACCCACCATAGGAATGCATAGCTAGATTCCTATTGGCTATTTCACTTTGCAAAAGCCAATAGCAAACTAGCTATTGCATCCGTCCTCTGATGCTGCCAATCAGCAGAGGGGGACCTGAAGTTCTCCATCAGGTCCCCTTCTAGTGATTGACAGCAGCAGAGGGCGGGTGCAATATGTATGTATTCAAGCAAAACAATATGTAAAACACACCTCTAGCTATGCATTCCATGTTCCCAGTCCGCAGCTGCAGAGATCGGGAAATGTCTCAGTGCCTGTGATTGGCACTGCGCGCTGTCAGCTTCCTGGCGGGCTCGGCACGTGGAGCTGCGAACACGCCCGAGCCCATCCCTATCAGTGACAGTACTGCGGAGTATGTACCTCATACATTATATAGCCACACACTTTAAATCCAACTCTTCTAGTTCCAGCTGCAGAGCCCGGTCCTGTCTTTGCCTATATCAGTGGTTCTCAGCCTGTGGGTCGCTGTGCAAGGTGAGAGTCCTCCTCAGCTCTCTCCTAGTGCAGCAGTGTCAGTTCTCCTGCCACGCCTCCAGATGTCGCTGCAGCAGCCGCGTCATCCCTACATTTTACCTTTGGGGGTCACCACAATTTGGCAAATGTTACCAAGGGGTCCCGGCCTCAGAAAGGCTGAGAACCACTGTGCTTGGATGTGACACAAAGTGAATACAGCATTGGGTTGCCCAGGAGCTGCAATACTCCAAACAGGCACCTGAATAAACAAACGTCACATGCCTTGGTAAAGTGATTAGTTTGGTTGTCTAAACGCAATCATTACTGTATGCCATATTAAAAACTTTATTACTGAATTTGTTTCCCATCAGCATTCGACAAGCAAAACACACCTCAAGATAAGAGATGACCACTTCACATGACTTCTCTTCTTTAATTGCTTCAATACGCTGGTAAAGCTCTACCATGGTTAGATACATCACCCCAGGGTCAGCAGCACTTCCAAGCATGGTGTGCGTCTTCCCTGCACCAGTAGCTCCATATGCAAACACTACATATGAGAAAAAAAGAAAAACAAAAAATGGTGAAAAGTAGAAAACATTACTGTGTAAACAAAACAAAGCCTGTATAACAATATGTGACAAGGCATTATTGTGCTATAAAAATTAAGAATCAGAGAATTTCAGGTACCTCAAAAACATTTAGATTATACAAAAACTTTTCCTCATTTACCAGAACAATTGTAGCCATTTAATACACCATCAATAATTGGCTTAGTTGTGTGCTCAAAGACTTCTTGTTGTCTGCTCTGCTCGCCAAACACATGGTCAAAGATGAATTTCAGGTCTTTCCCTTTGCGCCTGTTTCCGTCGAGACTTCTCAAACCAGAAAAGACACCCAACGTCTCAGGTTCATCTGGGTCAAATACCAGGATGCTGTGATCCACTACTTGTACAACTGGATACTGATTCCCTTCTTCTTCTCGGGTGTTAGGGGGGCGAACTCGAACCACAACAGACACATTGCCATCTTCGGGGGCTGCTGCAGCAGTCATAGTAACTGAACAGAGTCAGAGATCTCTGTGGAGAGGAAAAAAATAGTTTTTTTAAACCGATTGCATGCCATATATTGGGGGGAATTTATCAAAACTGGAGCAGACAAAATTGGAGCGGATTTGCACTGCAACCAATCAGCTTCTCGGTCTCATTTTCAAATCTTACCTGATCAAAACTGAAGAGAGATGCTGATTGCCTGCCATGGGCAACTGCTCCAGATTCTGTCTGCTCCAGTTTTGATAAATTCCCCCCACTCTCTTTACTGCCACCTATTAGGACAAACACTCTTGTCACGGCAGACAAAGAATACACAATACAGGAAAGCACCAAAACTTTTTATAAATATTTATTTTCTGGGCATGGACAGTCTACATTACAAAAATTGTACTACCCCCCTCCCCCACCCCCCCATCAGTCAGTACCGTACAGACACTGCCACAGATATACAAACAGTACGGTACTGGCACTTCCATAAACACGACCACAGATATACAATACTTACCGTTCTGACACCAGCATAAACATGTCCACAGATATACAATAAGTACGGTACTGACACCGCCAGAAACATGACCACAGATATACAATCATTACCATACAATCATTACCATACTGACACCGCCAGAAACATGACCACAGATATACAATACGTACGGTACTGACACCAGCCTAAATACATCCACAGATCTAAAATCATTACCATACTGGCACCGTCAGAAACAAGCCCACAGATATACAATAAGTACGGTACCGACATCAGCATAAATACATCCACAGATATACAATTATTACCGGACTGACACCGCCAGAAACACATCCACCGATATAAAATCATTACCATACCGACACCGCCAGAAACATGACCACAGATATACAATACGTACGGTACTGACACCTCCAGAAACATGTCCACAGATATACAATCATTACCATACTGACACCACCAGAAACACGATCACAGATGTATAGTCATTGCCGTACTGACACCACCAGAAACACGATCACAGATGTATAGTCATTGCCGTACTGACACCACCAGAAACACGATCACAGATGTATAGTCATTGCCGTACTGACACCACCAGAAACACGATCACAGATGTATAGTCATTGCCATACTGACACTAGAGCTGCAGCTAAAGATTATTTTCAAAATCGATTAGTTAGCCGATTATTAGGTTCGATTAATCGGTTAATCGGATAAACAATAAAATAAAGTTTAAAAAATGGCTCCAGTGATAGGACTACTAGTTTGTATTGAGGTTGTAGTCCATCACAACTGCGTTGACCCTGGACTTAATGAAGCACAGTGGACCAACACCAGCAGATGACATGGCTCCCCAAATCAACACAGACTGTGGAAACTTCACACTGGACTTCAAGCATCTTGCAGTGTGTGCTTCTACATTCTTCCTCCATACTCTGGGTCCTTGGTTTCCAAATGAGATGCAAAATTTGTAGGGCTGCGGAAATTAACGATTAACCACTCGATTAATCGTACATTTTTTAAACTCCCCCCTTCCCTTCGTTAGCCAACGGAGCCAATTGGGCCAGTGAGTTTGCCCAAGAAACAAATCAATGCTTGTTCAGTAAATATTTGGAATGCCTGGCCCCAAAAACAAAGAGCAGGGAGCCTCTTGAATTGCCTGTCCCAGCACAGGTACCAACCACCACATACATTTGAATTCAGAATTGTGTATGTGCTGCACATAGAAAGATAAACTTTTTTGTGCAGCGTGGATGTGGGTCTGGCAGCAGTGAACGTGAGGCAGGGAGGAGGTGCGGCGTGCTAAGGGCCTGTTCACACGACGTCCGTTTTCTGTGCTGACCTGATCCGTACGCTCCTGCACTAAAAATGCATCACAATGTATCCCTATGTGTTTTATGGGCTACAGTTCTCACTTGCGCAGTCCGTTCAGGTAACGACAGAAAAATACTGCATGTCACATTATGTTGTTTGTTTAGTGTTAGGGTTGCACAGATACTAAGTACAGTACTCGGTACAAGTACGAGTACCGATACTTTTGAGCTCCAAGACTACAATAGAGAAAAATTCAAAAATTAGGAGGCAGCTGTCATTTGTAAGGAGCACACGGAGCTCCCGGGATTTCTACATCTCTGTTTTAATGTACGATTTTGTTTTAATAAATATAAATAAAGGGATGCACAGATACCAGTTTTGCGAGTACGAGTACTGATACATTTTTGTTTATTGTTATGTGACAGTTTTTCTAAAACAATACAGACTAATGATTTCAGGACAGTGGTGGAGCGCCAGAGCCAGGTCCTAGCTGCAACCGCTGCAACCCTGGTAGTTCTCATGAAAATGCCAAGTATCTGCACTGGTACTCGAAAAGTATCTGTGCATCCCTATTTAGTGTAGATGGGGGAATCTGCTGTGCTTTTTCCATCTGACCATAGAAAATCTGCAGATAATCTATAGGTGTATGGCCAGCTTTAGACTTTAATGGGATCACCTGAAAAAAATGTGTGTTTACACCTGTGTGCAGCCTAAAAGCAGATCTAAACTTCAGAGCCGATTAGCACTATTTAGCAGACATGCATAAAGAAACAGCTTTGCTGTTTTAGGTTTTCTTTTGTATTTTCTACCTAATTTTTTTCTTCAGCCTGTGCATATGTGCATCCCTATCGCAGCCTCCACTTGGATGTGGGCACTCGATAGACACGAGTGCACAGGTCTCTACAATGACGTTGCCGTCAGGTTAGGACTACACTCAGCCATTGTGTTCTGTACAGGGACCCCAGCTGAACCTGCAGGCATGCTGGGCATCTGCCTGTAGTTCGGATCAGGGATGCAACTCATAGGCCTCATTGACGTGGGCAGAAAAAAACACCACTTCGGGGCATTTGTCAATTTTTGGTTTTCTGCCTCTGAAAGCAGCTCTATTTTAGCCAAGGTGTCCACGCAGATTGTGGTATTTAGATGCGGATTTTAGATTAGCATTCAGGGGCATAAAAAAAACATGTCTCAAACCTGAGTCTGGAGAGGAGCTTCCGGGCATAATTTACATGTATTCGCACCAAAACATGTGCATGTTCATTCCAGTGGCTAGAGTAAATCAATATCCTAGCTAATAGAAGGAGGGGGATTTATCAAAACTGAAGCAGACAGAATCTGGAGCAGCTGCCCATAGCAATTAATCTCTTCAGTTAGACCCTTTCACATGAATGGCCCATCTGTCAGCTTTTCAGGCAGACCCAATCAGAAGCCCAATGTTAGTCTATGGATAGCCGTGTGTAAACGGACGTGTGTACGTTTACATCAGATTACCCCCAACTCTGGCCAGGTCCAGGAAAACAAACAGAACCATGTTCTGTTTTGATGGATCTGATCGTACTGAATAGGACACATGTCTGTTTACATTCTATTCCCCATAGACAGACATGGAGTCTACAGTTGTTTCCTCTATCGCAAAGAAAAGACAGGCCAGCCACGGATGTCACAGTGGTGCATGGATCCCCTCCTAATCAGCCTGTGTGAAAATAAAAGGGAACCTGACTGGTTGTCATGCACAGCTGCTCCAGTTTTGATCAATTCCCCCAGTGACTTTACGTGCATATGCCTCTAAACGCTGTACACTCATAAACACAGGTAACTAGCAACCAAAATGTGTATTTTTTTACATGTGATTTTTCTGACAGCTTTTGGGAGAAAGATTCAGCGTAGGAGTATTTTAATATGCCCGTTTGTCTGAGCCCATAGGGCAGGGGTGGGCAACTCTGGCCCTCCAGCTGTTGTGGAACTACAAGTCCCATGAGACATTGCAAGGCATGACTCCCAGAGACATGATGGGATTTGTAGTTACTGGGTGACCACACTTCTCCTGCAGTGAGCCCCTAGGAACAAGCGTTGTCTCAATACCAGGAAGTCTGGCAGGATTAACAGGTACAAATCAAAGCTATTTAGTAACAGTATTAAAAAAAATAATCAAACATATTGTTTCAACAATGTGAGAGGTTACCGTTTAAGAGTAATTGAACGTGTGGGAGTTGCTGCGGGATAAATGCACAGTACAAATCGGTCCTCTACAAACCAGAGTCACATCCTATACACAGCAACCCCGACTTCCTGTATTAGATGTGCAACCTCTTCACACATATCACAATCTCGCTGCACCGTGACACGTGACCAACCAGCACTCACCTGCAGTAACGATCACAATCAGTAATTATAAAAGGATCCTCCGTGTTGTTGTTGTTGTTATTATTATTATCATTCCCCCCTGATCCCGGCGGTCATCCCCGCACATTCCTTCCACACTTCCGCCACACTAAGTTCAAATCACGCGGGCACGTCTGAGCGTGGCTACTGATTGGTCAGAGGTTCGCCGGCGCTGATTGGTGGGTGGAAAGGAACTATTCGTGGTAGAGCTTTGTGCGGTGTTGCAGTGTTCTATGTGCGAGATGTTGTGCTATGATTGCTCTCCTACTCTGCTATGTACAATGTGTGACGGAGGCCTCCAGTGTGGGCGCATTATATTTTATATCTGAATTCCAGGCAGATTAAAAATGACCAATGTAATGCGTTGCTTTAAGGAATACTTCAGTTTTGTTAAAAAACAGCAATATAGCATAGAATACACAAACCATTTTGTAATTTAAAGTGGAAGAAAATTTTTTAGTTGCAAAAGTGCTAACAGGCATTGTATGACAAGAGAGTGTGTGTAAAGGTGACCTTACGATTATCGTACAATAATTGTATGCGATCGACTTTTTGTACGACAATCGTAACGTGTGAATAGAGTGCCCGACCAATAGTACTGTACAATCGTACGACTTTTGACGGTCAAGCATGTTTGAAAACTTTGCTAGATCGTACGATTTTCGTAATGTTGCTGGCGTTTCCGTCCGTCAAAAGTTGTACGATCTACACTGCGCTTGCGCTAACGAAAATACGTCAAATCATTTCGTCCAGGTGCTTTTAGTTAATTACGGCTAAATTAATCTTGCGATCATCGGTGCAGGATGGGGCCGTCGTACGAA